GTCTTCCACTGCCTCTTCCCTTGCATTTTGGGCTTCCTCCCTAGCATGGGTTGCGTCATCGACATACCTCTTAATTTGGCCCTCGATATACTTGTATGCATCTTAGGCCCCTGCCAACTCCCTGTTAGCCTTCTCCAAGGCTTCGGCTATCACCTTCTGGCGGTCATTGAAAACCTCCACCTTTTTAGTCAAGGAGGCAACCTCGCACTGGGACTCATGTACCTCCCTCTTCAATGCTTCTATCTGAGCCAAGGTAGACTCCAGCTTGATCGATTCTTCAACTTTTTGGGCCCTAGCTTCTTCAGCCTCGGCCCTAGCTACCTTCAGCTCCTCTGCAAGGGAGGCATCCTTCCTCTCAGAGGACTGGGTCCTCGTCTGAAAGTCAGTGAGGGCCTCCCTGCACTCCAGTGCGAGGCCAAAAGTCCTAACACTTTGGCTTACAAGAGCCCTTGTCAAGTCCGTGGCATTATAGGCGGAGGCGTGCAGCTGCCACCGATCCGTCCAGAATTTATAAAAACTTTCAGTAGCGCTTCGAATCTCAGGTGGCAGGGCCTCCACCAAAGTTGGGGCCAAAGGCTCCTCCCTACCGGGAAGGAAGTTCGGAGACTTTCCTTGTACTCGAACAGGTTTCTATTTTGCAGCCTCCTCCTCGGCCACCTCAGCTTGCCTCCTTGCAGCCTCCTCCCTCGTCTTATCAACCTCGGCATGCCTAACCATTTCAATTTTAACCGCTTTCGAGGCGGCTTCCAATAGTTTTGGCAGTTCGGCTTCTTTGCCTTGGGACACAGAACTCCCAAATTTTCTAGACAAGTTGGAGATGTGCACCAGCTTCCTCTTCTTCGGCTCCTCAGGGACTTTCTCCTTCCCCTGAGGCTCCTTGGACTTTTCTGGCCTCTGGGGGGTCCCCTCTTCGAAAGCCCGTGATGTGCTGTCCTTGGAGAGACGCTCCACTCTGCCTTGGACCTCCTTGGCGCCAGTTGACCCCGGCTTCAAGGGCCTCACCTTCACAGTAGAGGTTGCCTTAAGTATGGACGCCATGTCAGGAGCTGGGTACTCCTTCCTCTTAAACTTGTCTGCACAATACAGCTTGTCAGTATCAAAACGAAAACACAAAAATATACAAGTGTGGGAGCTTCGTACCTTTGGAGGCCATTAGCTCAAAGTCGGGGAAATAGCGACTTCTGTCGATGAGGTGGTTGAAGTGGCGAAACTTCAGAGGTCTCTTGTAAATGTCCTCCATCACCTCAAACTCCTCCCTGCTCAGCTCGAACCTCGTACTACTATCTGCAAAGGACGCTTCAACAGTTAGAAAAATAAAATTTTTAATACAGATTACAAACTTGGGCTGGGAAACTCATGAGCTTCGTAGTACTGGGTCGGTACTGTGCAAGCCAAGGCTTTGTCCCCCTCCATTGCATGCCACCTGCCTCGCACCTAAAATCACGACTCCTTCCACCCCTTGATGGAAGAAGGTAGTCCCACCACAAATAGTGCGAGAGCCCCCCAAGGACTTAGGTAATACCACCCCTTCGACTCCTTCCCTATTACCCTAGGCTGGAACAGGGTCATGAAGAAGTGGAGAGACATGTCCTCCCCAAGTGATACTTCCTTCCACAGGAAGTACGAGCCAACCAACTGGCTCTACCCGTTTGGCAGAACCTGGGTCGACGACAGCATGAAGTTCCTCAGCACTACCCTAAAGAGGGGGTGCAGAGGAAGACGCATGCCTGCCTTAAACAGGTATTCACTCACCGCCACACAATCGGGCCTCGGATAATAGGCCCGCTCATGGGCTTCGGGAACTAACATTTCCACATAGTGAGGCACATAGTACCTCTCCCTAATCTCCCCCAGCCTCTTCCCTGTCATATTTGAAGGCACCCTAGACTCCCCCTACTCTTCGTTATAGTCAACTGGCTCCTCGGTCATAGCATACCTATCCACCTCGAAATCCCCCTATGACTGACTCCATGGTCCAGTAACGCTACAGTGACCAACTCCCTACCCGAAGTGGACTCCATCTCAGAAATAACTAAGAATGCAGTAAAAGGAGGATTTTCTGTGAAAAATACCTACTGAAAAACTACACAAACAGAGTGTGCTAGAAAAGCAATTAACGGACTTACCTCAACGCCGGAATGTTTAAGTTCTAAGAGAAGAAATCAGATTGCAAGTGTTGGAAAATCTGGAAAAAGGGAGTTCTCTCGCCTTTTATAAAGGGCCAAGACGAATCCCCACCGTCAGATCAAAACTCATTCAATCTGAACCCTTCATTTCAAATCAAATCTGAGGCGTAGAATTCAAACGGTTTTCCAAATCTAAGCCTCAGATTTAAGCGTGTCTCCCACGTACCTCAGCCAACGCATCTGCTTCTAGAAGCTCCAACTGTTCTAATAATTACGATTTTAATTCGGCGGCAACAGGCATCTTGGAAGTCCGAACGGTTCAGCCACCTTTCCTCGAAAACATGCGCAAAACATCAAATCATTGGTACAACTGCCAAGGAACAATTATTGTCAATGAACCTCGGCTTCATCTTCAACATTCAGCCATCAAGCCTCGCAGGTTCGATTTCCCAACCACCTCGGCTTAATCTTCAACTCAGTCATCAAGCATCGCAGGTTCGGTTTCCCAACCACCTCGGTTTCATCTTCAACATGGAACGGTTCAGCCACCTTTCCTCGAAAACATGCGCAAAACATCAAATCATTGGTACAACTGCCAAGGAACAATTATTGTCAATGAACCTCGGCTTCATCTTCAACATTCAGCCATCAAGCCTCGCAGGTTCGATTTTCCAACCACCTCGGCTTAATCTTCAACTCAGTCATCAAGCATCGCAGGTTCGGTTTCCCAACCACCTCGGTTTCATCTTCAACATTCAGCCATCAAGCCTCGCAGGTTCGATTTTCCAACATTCAGCCATTAAGCCTAGCAGGTTCGGTTTCCCAACCACCTCAGCTTTGTTAAGTGTTTTCATACTTGGCCAACCTACTTGGGCATATGGCCCACTCAATCCGAACCACGTGTTCAAAAATTCTTTCAATTTTTACCCAACCCACTGCTTTACTTCATTAAAGTCCACACATTACATAAATGACTATACTTGGAGTTTGGGGACTATTGTTACGTGCTGTCATACTTGGCCAACCTACTTGAGCCTATGGCCCACTCAATTTGAACCACGTGGCGCTCTAACCGAGGTGGTTTGTATGGTCGAGGCCTGTGAAGATAGTCGAAGCCCTAAAGACGAAGTATTACGTGAGTGGCAAAAGCCCCAAATCTGAAGCCGAAGCAGAAGCCTCCGAACCATAAAGGAACGCCTTCCATGATCACTTCTCCCAAAAGATCTTCTATATAAAGATCTTGTTAGAATGATTGATGGAACGTTTGTCATAAGTGTACATGTCAAGTCTTGTCATTAGCATGGGGGTTCTGCATAAGTAATAAATGCGCAGCAAGTTAGCAAGTCAAGGATGATGCCTAGGATTTGATGTTTGAATTAAAGAGATGAGACCACGTGCCACCTCATCCAATGACTGTCATTTCACATGTACCACTATAAATACTTCCATTGTATAACATTGAAAGACTAATGCAAGAATCAATACAAGAAACCACACTTTACTCTCTCTTTCATATTGCTTTACAACGCAATACAAGTTCAAACATATTTACATGCATATTCATGAGCACCGATTGGTAATTATTGTACAATCGAATTAAGAACATCCCGTCGGATTCCGAACGTTCTCGTCCCGCATCGTTGAGCTACTCCCACGTCCCTGATTCGTTCATTCTAGACCGTCCACGTGTCTTAAGCGTGTAGGACCTTCGCTCACGTGTGCGCGGATGGGTCCGGTATCTGATGGTGATTTTTTTGGGGTCAACAATAGCCATAAACCTAAAATTGCATGGCAAAAAACAGGAGTCAATTTGTGATGGAAATTTTGACTTTCGAGATCCTTCGATTGCCTACTGATCAACGTGCATCCCACTTTGTTAGGAGCCTTCTCTTTTTTAAAATTGAATAGCTTTTGACCATAAATGAGAAATGTCATTTGTACAATATTATCTTACCACATTAATGATAATGTTAATAGGTGACAAAAATGTATTGTATGAGAAAAAAATTACTTTTTAAACTATTCAATGACAATTTGCCACTTTGCATGTTGGCAACGATGTTGTCAAAATATTATACTACAAACATGATTCATAATAACCATACGTGTTAAATTTAGCTAGACACAAAATTATTTGGACCGGCATAAATTAGCTGCTAAAATGCACATCTCACGACATAATCAGGGGCATCAAGTGAATCAAATGTATAGAACAAGTTAATTAGTTTGATTTGTCTATGTCGAGTTCAATTCATTCAATGAGCTCATTCCTTGGCGTTGGTGAGTTGGCTTGTACATGAACCGCGAGTGAGCTAACTCACTCAATAAACGACTCGTATGGCTAAATGTTGATCTGCTTGTACCACTTAACGCCCTTATAAGTCGTGTCATACTTGACGGGCATCTTAAAACATATTAAGCCTATGTTTAATAGGAATTAAAATCGATATCTTAACTTAAGTTGAAATCGACAATTAATTTTAACCACGTATTTTATGAGATTCACAACTTTTCAACCACATTTCATTAATTTTTATCAAAATCTATTAAATTTTGATTTTAATCCCCACCAAACAGAAGATACTCAAATTTGAGACAAGTTCAAAAGATCAAAATCGATTTCTCTCAATACAATTAATTCGACCAACCAGTTGTGTATGATTTATTATATTTTGAGATTTGAGGTTAATATATAATTTTTAGTTGCGTATAACACGCAGTTTTTTTATTACATGAAAGCTAAAAGATTAGAAACAAAAAAATTTCCAGTCAAGTGCTGAAAGGGATTCAAACCCAACATATTATTAACAATTTGAATGTCTTTCGAATCAAAAACTATCGGTTCTCCCGAATTAGGAAACATACAAGTCGACATATCCATCAACAAATCAGACTTGATCATTAACCATAATGTATTTTTAAGCACCAACGCATCAATATCTTCCCATGTTCAATCATTCTGTATTGAAGCTCTATTTTCCATCCTCCAAATGGAAATCTAACATATTAACAATAAATTGGCCTCAGTTTCAAGAAATCTATCCCAAGGATCTATTCGAAACCAAGAATGGATTCCTCTTGTTTAATATCCCAAATACTTTGGTGCAAAAAACAATAACCGTTCCAAGGCACTCGGAGCAAATTTTCTGGCAAAAAGATAACAAATAGAAGATGACTTGTCATTATATACACAATTTTGGCCTTCAAAAATTCTCTTCATGAATTCCTCAGTTATATCTGATTGTCCAAAAGTAGCAGGGTGAGCACCTCCCCTTGACCAGTCCGTCCACGTTATGCTTCTATTTGCCAATGAATTTGCAGCCCGAATAGTCAATAGAGTCGGAAAATAGTGTTCATCCACATAACATGCTGGTCGGCAGAACTCTGCAAATTTTGGGTAGAATTTAGCATCTTCAACAATGTAGAGAGCAAGTTTTCTGTTGATTTCAAACCATTGGGACCCTTTACGCCATTGGGTGATGTTAACCTCGGGCAACATGTTGTAATTATAGCGCCCTCTCCCGTATGGCCCCAGGTCATCAAATGCACCAATGAAGCTATATTTCGATTGTGATATGTAATTGTATACAGTAGTGAAATTGAAGAGGGGAATGCATGACTCGGAAAGTAGAACAAACCACTCGTTATTGATATCAAGCAAGGCATTAGCAAGAAGTCTTCTCTCTGAGTCACACATGCTCATTTTTCCCCATTCTGAAACCTGAAGAAGAAAATCACAAAATCATCAGCTAGTTTATGAGATGATGGACTAGAAGTATTTCCAGATATCAAAATGTAGTATTTATCCTTGAAGAAACCCATCAAATGCTTGTTAATTTACTCGAGAAGAACCAAGTAAAAAGCAAAATAATCAAAAACATACTATGGGAAAATTCAGTTAACCATGAGTTAGAAATTGCTTTTTCACTTTGTCTGTATTCAGCCGTTTTCCCCCAACCCCCTCGGAGAGGAAGGTTTGGCAACTAGTTAAGTATGTCGCTTGCTCTACTTCCTTGGCCAAAATAGTGAGGCAGGCAAGCATCGCTTCCTACTAATCCGGTCTTGTTCTCTAAAAGCATAAATCCCTTACTCCATTTCCTTTAGTAGGAATAAAGGGGTGGGAAAAGCATTGCTTTCTACTTATCCACGCTCTCTAAAAGCAACTCCCATCGTTGGTGGACATGGCACATTATATGATCAATATGACTCCTGTCATCAATATGTTTAACTCTCAGAAGAATCGATGAGTGTGCAGCTCCTTGTTATTCAAACGAATACTCCCTATACTGATCCTTAAAAACACAATGAACGGGTATCCATCCTCCTCCTGTACATTGCAATTTCATGCCATAAGCTTACTGACAATCAAGAATGCACAAGCTTTCCAATACATCCCTGTTAAAGAAATTCACGTACAGGATGAGATCCAATTCAAGAGCCAATACAGTGGCATTGTTGGCGAGAAAATATAATGCAGCCATTTTTGACAAAGTCTGCCCAACTTTTGTTCTACTCATCACTTTGTGCTTGATATAGTGAACAAACAAACAGTACCTCACATTTCAAAAGCCATAGAATGAGTACCCAAAAGTCTATGCCCTCACCAAATTGGAATAGATTGCTAAAAAAAGTCAGAATCCTCTGAACAGAGAATTGAGTCGCCTATAAAGGATCTGCTATGTTCAACTAAGTGTAGACAAAAATCATAGTGGATTAAGAGGTTTAGTCTGAGAATTCGGAAATCTAAGAGCACAAACTACAATGAGTTTCAAAGTGAGTTGGGGGGTTCCACTATCAATTAAGGTGTGTAATATTTGTCTGACACTGGAACCGAAGCATGTCCGGTTTCATAGTTGACAGTAATGCAGGTTGGAGAACATATCATATATTGATTCTTTGATGTAGGACCGAAACTGCAAATCAATCCAACCTTTTCCTCATATTCTGTTTAATGAAGAGTATAATAAAATCAGTTTTATAGGTATAATGCATAAGAGAATATCCTAGTTCAACCTTTATCTACCATGTGATTTTGAAGGGGAAAGGTAACAATCAAAGTAGAGAAAAAAGCTCTATGCCTCTATCCATCAGCGGCTAAACTTGTTCCAGGCATGACAGTCAGAAACGGATAAATAAATAAAACTAGTGAGTATCACAGCCAACCTAGTTTAAGGATCCTATAGCAAATGGTTGTAATATTACTCGGAAATAGGAGGGTGGAAAGGCTTTGCATTCAATTAATCCCCTGGTGTCATATCTAATCCAGTACATGGGCTCATGCTATCTAGAGATCGAAACCCAAGAACAAAAAAATTAAAGAACAAAACATAACATCTATCAAAAAGAAGATGGTGTAAAACATATATACCTGACTTGGTATCTGTCTCTTGTAAAAAACTGACGAGGATGGAAAATCAGCCTGATATGATGGCAGTGAATGGATATATATTGAATACAAACCCTCATGACCATTAAAAAACCTTTCCCAAAGAGGTGCCAATGGCAATGGCCCCTTAGTCAAGAACATGAATGCAATCTTTGGAACCCTCTTAAATGGATACTTCTTCACTTTGGGTGCAAAAGATGCCCTCCACAACAACTCCTGATCACTCATTGAATGCATCAAATCGGCCGGAGGCCGGATCCAACCGTCGAGATTATTCTGCTCATCCTCAATGAAGGGCTGTAAAGTAGGCCTTACTGTAGTAACTATACTTTGAACTCCAAAATGCTTAATCGTATAGACACTAACTACAGAGAAAGTGAAACATAAAGCCAGAAAAGGTACAAGCAATTGAAGCAACCTTTGAGGCAAAACCCTAGATTGGCTTGTCCTGGTAATCATAGTAGGCTCTTTACCTTCCTCCATCTCTCTAACGCTTCAAAAGTGTCCAAAACTTATCCTAATTAATTTCCTGAATCACAGCCAATTCATAAATAACATCAGGAATTGCCTAATGCGCACTCTTTTTTCCGCCGTATGAATCCAACCAAACACTCAAAAAAAAACTTCATAACGAGAAAAGATCTCTCTCAAAAAAAAAAAATCTAAGCCCTTAAGAGAGAGAAGAAGAATTCGGAGACTGTTATCGGAGGAGTTGTCAAAGAAAATAAAGCGAGATTAGCATACAGTGGATTTACAGAACATCGAACAAAAGATGTAGAGCGAGGAGGAATTTGGGAAGAGAGATCTGCATCTATCCGAAAAGGGTGGCAAAATCCAGAGAATGTGAAGACGGGATCTCGAAATCTAAAAAAATTTCAGAAACGTGCGCTTAGAGATTTTTTTCTGCGAGCCCCCACCCCACAATTTTTTCAAATTGTCGATTTAGATTGGATATTATTTTATTAAAAATTGTGTAATTAAAAATAAAAGAGAAGGAGATTTAATTTAATTTAATTTAATGAGATTTAATAGTGGCCAAACGGGAGAAATTCTATTTTTTGAACCGCACATTCTTCAACAAAACAGTATTTCAAAATGTATTTTAATTTTTTACCTAAAAATGAGGCTCAATTAGCGACATAATGTCAGTTGAATTGTATCTTTAGCGTGATTCAAAACTTTCTTTTATTTTTTAATTGAGACAGGTCATATTATTAATTGACTTGAATATGTTATTTATGTTTATTGGATAAACGTGTTTTTTTTAAAAATTTTTATTCATATATCTAATTAATTTTATCATTTCCTTCCTCATTATTTGCAAATTGCAGCATTACATGAAGATAAATAGGCATAAAACTTTATAGAGCAATCACTGTGAAGAAGGGTCTCTTGTGCGCAAAAGTATATAGACAATGGAGGAACCTGTGATCCAGTTGAGGCATTACCCACGATTTACCCCCTCCAAGGTTCTAGGGGCAACGATCTTTGGGGTTTAGGATTTAGTTTGATGTAAGTTGGGATACCTGGATATCAAAAAAAAAAATAGGCATAAAACTTAAAAGTGCCAGGTCCACCACGATATTTTGAGATCACGGTTCCGTTTGAGCCTCTTTTTGGGAAAAGATATTTAAAAATGTGAAAAAAAGGATAAATTTACGTGTAAAATTATTTTATTGAAAGAATTTGTAATTAAAAATGAGTTTTTGAATAATGAGATTCAAACACGGGCTTAATATTTTTACCATCCAACTCGTGCAAATTGTAAGTCAGGATGGCACAATCCATGTTAGGCCCTTGATGTTGGTTGAGAGATGCTATATATACATGCCTACTGATAAGGATAAGGTGAAGCCACCTCAGCCCCCTATATTTATCCTTGTCAAAATGATTGTGTGATAACATTAATGATGTTGGTATGGTACAGCGTTTGGGAAGCGTTTCTAATCGATTTAAATTATAAATAAGTAATGGGTGATGCTATACGTACATTCTAAAGTTTACGAGTACCATTTCTCAGAAGCAATAATGAGTTGTGAATAAATGAAAAGTAGTTATGAATTATCTAGAATGGATGAATAAAGAGTACGTATAATCAAAAGAGTCCATAAAATTCCCACTAATAATCATTTGAGTAAGGTAGGGTGTAATTTGGAGATTTGTTGGGGTTGGGTGGTAAGGATTGTTAAGTTTGTTGAGTCTGCTTTACCAGGCAAGTATTTCTTTCAAGTAAAATAGACACGCCATCCTCTTGATTGTGTTGGAGAACATTGGGGAAAATAATAGAGAGAATAAAGAGGAAATTACTCACAGACCTACTTTTTAATACACATTTCAATAATTAAACATAAAGATTTATCTTTTGAAAATCAAGTACACCCACCCACTCTGTGCCTTAATTGAATTCTTCCCAAATCCACCCTCCCATCTCCACGAAGCCCACTATCGTCCACTCGCCTGTCATCATCGACATCCATTGCCTTGTCGGACACCCACTACTCTATCCCATCCCACCTCACATCACCTCGACCTATCCTTTGCCATATTTTCCCAAATCACAATTCCCACTTTACCATCGCCATCCATCCTCGAATCCATATCCATACTCATTTTCCTACTATATTCAATAAGAGAGATACAAGAATTGCATGGGGTGGAGAATTGTTGGGGTCTTGGAATTTCATAAACGCAGAGGGGATTCTAGAGATGGAACATATAACAATGCAATCAAAGATAGCCGTTCAGAAGAGCATTTTTCTTGATCAAAATAGTAAAATGGTAGGCACTATTTGATGATTGACTCATTCCATACTTGAAATAATCGCGAGAAATACTTTGATAACCTGGATTCCCATTTCTCAATGATATTCCACAATCAAGATAATTAACTGAATTTACAATTGCTTCGAGCATCTCAAGCGATACCTGAGCCTCAACATCCCTTGGCCTAAGATAAAAAAGATTGTGGACCATAGGTTGTCTCAAGCAAATCTCAGCCACATCAATTTCAAAGTTTAAGTCATGGTGTCTTGTGAAGAAGCCCCATCCCAAAGTATCATATATTAGTGCAATTGAAGCATTAATTATCCTTCGGATTGTACTCGACCGAGCATAATTTTTACTTTATATCTTCTTGTAAGATATAGCTCTGCAACAACCCAATAACATTGGAGTGTTGTTAAACAAATTTTTCGTTACAAAAGAGGTAATATTGACACAAAATTATTTTATTCATAAAATTTGAAATCTTCTTTAATGGGATGTGCATATACAATTTATATCTACATAAAGTTAAATGAAAAATAGAAAGCAAACCTTGGCATCAACATTTTCAAATTATTATGTAATTATTGTAATTCATGAAGTTAGTCAAGAATGTGTATGATTAAGGAATATGGTTCATCATATCCAAATGTAATACAAAATAACTTTAACAAAAGATTAGTCAACAATATTGTATGAAGACAATATAACTTATATTCCACATTCAAAGGAAGCTATATCAAATGCTACATGGGAAAATAGATTTCTTCAATATTCTTGTATGCACATGAGTTATAGAAGAATAATGATATCATTACATCGATGTTCAACAAGTTCACTATAGAGATAATGTAACAAATTATTCACAAAGCATTATTGATATCTTTATTCAAGAATTGATACACGAGATTTGAATGCGTCGACTGAGAGAGTTTTAGAGATTAACATTATGAGGAATAGTTGTACTCTTTTCCTTCGTCAAGACTTTGTCCCACTAATTTTTTTTGGCGAAGTTTTAATGAGTCGTGATTTTATTAACACTCTAAAATTGTAACAATTAATTGTACGTTTTTTCCCTTCGTTTCATTTTTTTCCCTTCGAATTGAATTTTTATCTATGTTTAACGAATTGATTACTGTGTAAGCAATCATCAAATGAGATGTTGTAAGATTATGAGATAATTAATATTTATTATTTATTTAATATTATAAGGATATTTACATAGCTATTACTTACTATAAAAGTTGGTATGGTTAATCGAGATTTTGATTGATTTTAACAATCCTTTTAAATTTAGGTATCATCAATTTAAATTTTAATGAATTTATTAAAATTTATTTAGGTGTCTCTAATTGAGATTTTAATGAATTTCAATGAAGTTTTTTACAATTTTGGTATCCTCAATAACTAATGTGCTTATAAAGATTTCATTAATAGATGGATTTTAAAAGATTTGGATGAATTCAAACTTAAAAATAAATAAAACAAAATAACTAATGTGCTTATAACTAATGAAGTTTTTTACAATTTTGGTATCCTCAATAACTAATGTGCTTATAAAGATTTTATTAATAGATGGATTTTAAAAGATTTGGATGAATTCAAACTTAAAAATAAATAAAACAAAATCTTTTGAAATTCACCATTTTTAATGAGATACTCATAGAATTTGTGATAATCTATTTAAATCTACGAAATTCATTATAATTTATAATCTTTTAAAATTCATCAAAATTTTAGTTGAGGACTGAAACGAAAATTTTTGAAAAATCTTGATCTGGGCTCAAAAAAACCGTCAAATGAGCACTACAACCACCAAGGCTCGATCCATAATGCTACACCTTCAATTGCCTCTTTTTACTCACTCTAGTTACCCTTCTTCTAACTCAAAAATGACACAAGGAGGTGGTAATTTGTAAATTATAAAGAGATGAAGGGGAAGATAAAATAATGGTTGAATATCACTATAGAAATCACGTCACTTGACTGCCTCTTTCAAATCTCTCCTCTCTTGCACAAACACAGACACGGCTGAAAAGAGGAAGACAATTGATCTACATGATAATCAATGAGGAAATGTCACTAGGTATCTAAAATTTATTAAAAATTCCCTTTTTACATTTCAAAACTTTTTTCACCCAATATACTGCAATATATGTAGTATATTTGAAAAATGGAAAGTATACCCAATCCCATATTTAAGATAGTAATAACTGAAATTATTCCACCAAACACATCGTATAACCCACCCACAAATTACGCCCTAGTAAATCCCCATCTTCAGCTTTACCATTGTACCATTGAACAAATAATTTTCGAAAACCAAAATTAAAAACTCTTCAATACTCTCCAAGATCTTCACAAAATTGTATCTCGATTCCTTACTTGAGGGTTAATTCTTTTGATTTCTCCTCATGCTGATGTTGGTTGGGAAGATGATGAAAAGCAATTCTAGCTATAATATTGAAATCCAAAATTTTCGAAATTCAATTATAAGTTAACAAACAAAAGCACAGTTATCTGTGTTGGGCACCAACCCTGTTTGGCACTAGTATTCTTTTAATTTGAATTCCTAAGTACAGGTAATGGTTTAAGAATTCATATAAACAATTAAAGTTGCGATGACTAACATACTTCTATGGCTGAGGTGAAGATAAAGAAGAAAATTTGGAGATCTGATTTGTGTTCAAGTGCACTGATCATTGACATCAAGTAAATAATGCTTTAAAATGTTAAAGTAATGAAAATGATACGTTCGATATAGAAAATATTGAACATGCTTTAAACCTTGACTGAAGCAAGGACATAGATTGAGGATGAATGTTTCTAACATATGATGGTGTGGTATACAAATACTCTTGGCAGTTTTGAAGTCGAGTTTTAAAGCATCTACGAACGTTGGTCTCGACTCTAGAGAAGCTTCTCGGAGTTGGTTGTGATATGTTTTCTTACCTTCTTATTCAAGGTTTGCATTATTTATATTATCAACTCCATTATCTTTAGTATGCAAGTAACCATACAAAGGTATAAAGGAGAGAGAGCATGAAAAGAGAAGAAGGAAACAATTTATTTCATTTTATATCTTGAGAATACAAGCTATTAATTCAGTGGTAAGCATAGAATACAATATATGATGTCCCAAACTA